GCTACTAATGAGCAATAAAGTATCAATAAAGTATTGAGCGACATAAAAGTTAGGCCGAAAGCCTTTACAGAAAGCGTCAGAATTAGCAGAGGATTGGTATAAGGAGAGACGATGATTTAATCTGGTGCCACACTCAGTGGTAAAGGGGCAGTTTGCAACCAACAGTACTGAAACTAAATAGCACACAGTGTATTTACACATTAGACATGTGGTAAAACAAGCACGAGGCCCTGGGTCCATCCTTGGGGAGGAAAGAAGGCTCTAAGTGTGGTGGAACGTGACTGTAGTTCCAGCACTCTAGAGGCTACGCTGGGACAGCTGTCTTTAAAAAGTCCTATTAGGGCCAACCAGGGGGCTCTGCAAGTAAAGGCACCTGCTACCAAGCCTGATGACCTGAATTTTATCCCCAGAAGCCATGTGATGGAAGGAGAAAACTGACTCCCCAGATTATCCTCTGACCTCAGAATGTACCCAATGGTTCATGCACACACACACACAAATAATTAATAATAATAATAAATGTAATAAGAATTTAACTACATGTTATCCCTATTAATATGCACATTTATGCTTTGTGTACTTGCTAATAATTAAAAGATAAATGAATTGTGTTTCAACAACTGAATATTCATAAAAGAGCCCAGCATAGGAACAGCTGACCTGAACAAGGGGGAGCTCATGGACCCCAGACTGATGGCTGAGAGGCCAGCATGGGACTGATCCAGACCCCCTGAACGTGTGTGTCAGTGAGGAGGCCTCGGCACTCTATGGGGCCTCGGGTAGTAAGTAGATCAGTATTTATCCCTGGCTTACGAATGGATTTGGGGAGCCCATGCCCATGGAGGGATACTCTCTCAGCCTGGGCACATTGGGGAGGACCTAGGCCCTGCCCTGGATGATATGACAGACTTTGGAGAGTCCCCCACGGAGGGCCTCACCCTCCCTTGGGAGCAGAGGATGGGGGCTTGGGGGATGGCGAGGGCGGGGGAGGAGGGGAGGGAGAGGGAGCTGGGAATGACATGTGAAGCAAGCTTGTTTCTAATTTAAATAAAAATATGTAAAAATAAAAGAGCCCAGCAACCTCAACTCTCAACTCAGCTCTCCCATACACAATAGTAAGAGTATAATATTCATATTAAAACAAAAAGAAAAGACCTAGGAGAAACACTTTGCAACCTTTGAAAGATAACTGGCTTCTAACAAGAAATAAGCATGAACCATAAGGAAAAAATGGAAAACTGTGCTTCAAAATAAAAACTTCTTATTGACATGCACTATTATAACAGAGGACACCAACTGGGAGAAAAAAATCATGAAGGACTCATTCCCACAACATATAAAGAATATCTACAAATCAATAGTATGAAAGCAATCCAATTTAAAATATGGGCATGTGATCAGTGTCCAGAACAATAAAATTAAGAAGACTATGTGTGAAAAAGAGAGACAAAAGGAATGTGTCTGTATTGCTAATGGGAAGATTTATTACAGATCATTTTGGAAGCAGTTTGTCATTTTGTTATAAACATACTCTCACTTATGTAAGATCATTTCACTCCCACATATTTAGACAAAAGAAATAAAAGGGAATGACTAAACAAATACTTGTCTAAATAATTTTTGTTTTATTCATGATAACTAGAAATTGGAAATGAATACCTATCAACAGCGAATAAATAACTAAATTATTATATATTCACACAATGGACTTGTTTGCAATAGAAGGAAATGACATACACAACAAGGATTAATCTCAAAGAAGCTATACTGATCAAAAGACCACCAAAGCATTCCAGAGCATTCTCAAGTCACTGCTGTATAAACTGGGAAGCTAATATTGTCTCTAGTTAATTAATCTCAAAATAAAGGTTAAAAGGGTAAGAGACTTTTAGATAAAATTGCCTACAAGAAGTTGCCTCTCTGTGCTCTGCATGACCCAGTAAAGAAGGGACAGGAAAAGAAAAATATGGGTTCTATCTATTCCAATGAGAGGAGAGAAAGCTTCAGAAATTCACAAATGGAGTGACAGAATGGCTAAAAGCATGGAAAGACAGGTGACAAGCCATAAAGAAGCAAACCCTGTGGAGCACAGGTGCAGGGCTCCCTGGGTGTGGAAGGAAAAGCAAAGCCTCATTCCAAAGCATTCTCTCTCCTCTCTGAGTTGTACTGGGGAGGCACTCTCAACAGTAGGCTGCTCGTTTTAAGCAGTTTAAGGGCTATCTAAACTGTGAGAACTAATCTCCACTGTCAACTTGTGTAGTTGGATTTTTCTTTGGGCCACAAGCTGACAAAAAACAATATGGAGACTTACTATTAATTATGAAAGGTTTGTCTCACTAGCTCTTATAACTTAACTCATTTATATCAATCTACATTTTGCTTTCCGGCTCTTTACCTCTCTTCCATCTTGCACCTTCTGTTTCTTCTCCATGTCCCCTGACATCACTCCCTACAGCACCTAGACTCATCTCCTCTCTCTTTGCCTGACATCCCCCCTCATCTCTTCATGCCTGCCATTGGCCATTCAGCTCTTTAGTAAACCAATCAGAAGGTGCCTTGGCAAAGATGGTAGACATCTTCACACTGTACAGAAAGATTATTCCATAACAAACTTGACTAGATTTGAGGTCACCATGAGATACTCCTTGGAGCACATCTGTGATTTAACTGAGGATGGAAATATTAAGTGGCACCACTCTGTGAAGTACAGCTCTAGGTTGAATGAAAGAGGGAGAATTGGGGATCAGTCCATGCTTGCCCACAGCACGACAGCCTAAGTTTAATTCCCAGAATCCACAGTTAAAGGTAGGAACAGTAGTGTTGCTTGCAACCCCAGAGCTGAGAAAGCAGAGACAGGGTCCTTTGGGCTCACTGGCCACCAGCCTGCTCATAAATCACGGTTAGTTCCAGGCTAACATTTATTTATCTAAGCAAATAAATAAATAAATAAAAATAAGGTAGGAATCTAGAGAGATGTCTCAGTGGTTAAGAGTGCTTACTGCATAACCATGAGGATTGGAGTTCAGATCCCATCACTCACATAACACTCTAGGAATTGTACACACAGGCATGCACATCTATGTGTGCACACACACAGACATATACATGCAATTAATAAATAAGTAAATGTGATATGAAAAAGGGGAGAAGGAAGACAAAGAGAAAACAAAGTGGAACGCCCTTAAGGAACAATACCGGAAGTTGACCTCACACACATGCACACATGTGAGCACCTGTGCTCATCTCTCTGCTTCCTAATCATAGACAGAGTGTATCCAATCACCCATGCTCCACCACTGTGTCTCCTGTGCCTTCATGGACTGTATCCCCTCAAACCATAAGCCTTCTCCTCTTTAGGTCACTTTCTGTTAGGTATTTACTATGGTAACAAGAAAAGTAATGACTACACAAAGTAACAGAGGCACAGATTATAGCCAATACAGGAAACTTGAAAACATAAGCAACATGGCTCTTCCAAAAGACTCTCACTCCTCAACCAGCAAATTAAAAAAAATACTGAAATGAGTAAAACTTTAGATGAAGAGCCAAAAAAAATTTATAGTATAGGTAACGAATGATGTCAAAGAGAATATAAACAAGGAGATGAATGAAGTAAGGAAATCAATCCACTGCCTGGACAGGAGAGGGTGTCAGCCAAATGGATTAGAAAGTCAACAATATGGATAAAAAGCCAACAATATAGAAGAAAAATTCAACAAAAAAATTGAGATTCTTCAGAAGGAAAAGCCACAAGTATAAATAATGCTGAGGCCAACACCTATGTTGGGTAGCCCACAACCACCTGTAACTCCATTTCCAGGAAATCTGACATGTGGTCTCTGTGGGCACTGTACTT